TAAATACACTGAACTCCAGGATCATTCCTGTCTTTATATGTGGACTATGCAGATGAATAGAGCTGCCACAGCCACTAGAGGACCCCCAAACTGCATGTTCAACCTCGATATATTTCGGGAGTTTGAAAATGACCTGTCTTATTTGTAGCTGGCTCTATAGCCACGTCACGTGTTTAGTGAAGCACTTCTATGACTAAAAATTAAATTTAGGTTAAAAAAAATCAAGCTTCAATGATACAGAGACTGTCAAATTGAATTAAATAATAAATTAACCACAGGTGGTCAACTGACATGACATTTTCACATGTAATACGACTTCCAAGGCAGTGCACACAAGTACAGGGGAAAAAAAGGTTCAAAGCATTTCATGAGTGTGCAATAATTTGACAGATGGCAAAGAGATGATATCCACAGACATTAGAGATGCGTTGTTTGCAGTTTTCTTTGACGATTCCATTTTACTTTTCAACTATATGAGCAAAAATCGGCTTTTTTATGCAAAATATCCAGAAATGGTGGTCTCATGTTTAATTTCCCAAAATACCCAAGATAGAGCCATTGAAATCAAAATCAAAGTATAGAAGCAAGTTATTCTTGAGTTCCTTCTTCTTCACTCAAATTACATACTCCCAACTGAGCCAAATTTGAAAATGTTGCAGCATTTTTCTGTCTGATTGATACACTAAGTTTCCAGCCTATATGGTAGAACAAATTCCTGGTTGTTTGCCGAGCTGGCGAGGAAGTCTGAGCTGTCAGTTAGAGCATTGAACTGCGGCTGGGCTGCAGGCTTTGAAGCGTACTCTGGCTGGCTGGAAGATTGGTTGATTGGTTGCAGAGGATAGGTGGGACCAACTGGAAAAAGAGAAGTTGGCATGAGATTGAAAATGTCGTAAGATCTGTAATGTAAGAATCAATATTATCTAGCAGCAATGTCCACTCTAGTGTCTGATTACAGTTATTTAGAAGAGCAGAAAATGCAAAATAAATCTGCAGACCTTTGACGTCATTTATTCAAGGTTGGTGTGCAGTGCATTTATGCAAGAACTATGTGTAAGCCTTGCAGCATTCAACAAACTGATTGCTTAGAATAATAATAAATCATTAAAAAACATATTTTAGATCGATAGATCGATAGATAGATAGATAGATAGATAGATAGATAGATAGATAGATAGATAGATAGATAGATAGATAGATAGATAGATAGATAGATAGATAGATAGTGTTCAAATCCACACTCACTTGCATCCTGATACGATGGTGGTGGTGTAAATGGCTGTTCATGGCTGAGTGGTGTGGTCATGGGCACAGCTTGATTGCCAGGCATAGCTGGGTAACCAGGGTGCCCTGGTACTGGCTGGTAGGGCACTCTCTGATAGGACTGAGGGGGTACTGGGTACTGAGGGTACTGCTGTGGATACTGCTGAGGTGTAGCGGTGACCAAGGTGTGGGTAGCAGCGGCCACCTCAGCTGTAAGCAAACAAATAACAATACATGAGAAATGTGGTACTTCTAAGTTATTTATAGCTTGGGTTGTTTTATGTGAATTGAATAATACAGCTATGATCTGAATTATTCAGGTGTGAGGGGGGAAAATTCTTCAACACTCACAGAAATAAAGATGATGAAAGACTGTTTAAAATTCTACTAATTTTATATCCTGTTTATGTTTCAAAATCTGTTTATATCCGGTTCTTCTTGTACACATTAGGAGTTAAATGCATGGAACAAAGGTCAAGGAAACAGAAACCTCAGCTTTTGTTCTGACTATGAATGCAGGCCTCAGATTAATAAATTATAAACGATTAATGTAAACATATGCAACTCATGTCAGGTTAAATCCTCATAATATAATAATATCAGACATACACAGCAAATACATGCTAGCTTTACCATGTTTGGCAGCGTCAAAGATTGAAAAATTTGGGGAAAAAGCCGCTGTGATGGGACAAAATTATCTCAAAAGAAATTCCGCTATTCTTTCTTTTTGTATCCACTAGGACACAAATATATGACAAATCAACAAACATAAAGGAAATCCAGTTGTTTAATGTCAGAAAGACAACAGCATTGTTTAGGAAAAAGCACTCACAGATCAAGTGTTATGCACTTAATGAGACAAATGATACCACTTCTCCCACTGGAGTAAATAACATGTATTGAAGGATGAACAAAAGTATTTAAAAAGGCCTGGGAATCTTTTTGGACTTCCTAAAAAACTTGGAAGTGAAAGAGATAACTTATGGATAGATATCTAATGACCCGGCAGTATTTACTTTGTTATATGTTCTAAACCAACTCAGAACCTTCTTTTTTGATTCCCACCACTCTCTGAAACACAAACTCAGGGTAATCAGGACCCTGCAACACCGGGCAGAAAAGATTCCCTCTGAGCCAGAAGGGAAAGAAAAGAAACACATGGGTACAGAAAGCTCTTAAAACATGTGGTTATAACAACAGAAATAATCACATTACAAACAGAACAACACCGTCATTCCTTATGTAGCAGGTTTATCAGAGAAACTACAAGCATGACATCCCAGTGCACTTCAAATCAAGCCTCACCCTCAGACAAAAACAGATTGATCCCAAGGGCAAGACTCCAAAACACAAGCTAAACAACATAGTGTATGCTGTGCAGTGCAGCGAGGAGTGCTCAGAGCTCTACACTGGAGAAACCAAACAGCCACTGCATAAATGCATGGCACAAAATAAAAGAGACACCTCAACAGTACAAGACTCTGCATCTAAAGGTCAAAGGTCACTCTTTTGAGGATGCCAGTGTTGACATGATGCACAGAGAAGACAGATGGTTTGAAAGATGAGTGAAAGAGGCCATCTACGTCCGCTGTGAATGACCATCTTTGAACAGAGTGGGTGGCTTACAAAACAAAACTTTGCCACCCGCAATGCAGTTTTGACATCCCTTCTACGCGCTTCAACCCTGACATCTTGCATCAGGTGACCTCAGTAAACCACATGACAGGGTGAGGTTTGGTCTCATAGTGCTTTCACCCGAAACCGGTGATAATGACGGAAACCTTTTTTACACCTTTGCTCATGTGATGATGCACATGATTAATAGTGGGTCAACAACAGTCCTGAGGGGCACCCCCACCAGAGTTACCTGCTCCACCTTTTGGTTTTAGAACTGAAGAATCCTCTTGGATGAGAGCGGAAACGTCTTCACAAAACAGTTTGGAAAACCTTCTTTCCAAGCCCCTTGGACTACTGTGACCAGGATGACTGAGATCCTGCACAAACAAACCTATTTGATGTGATATTCACATCAAATAGGCTCTTTAGACCTTATGAATTAATCTACAGTTCAAAATGTATTATATACTCTTATTAGGAGGGAATTCATATTATGAAGACATACAATAAGAACATCATGTAAGGGTTAAGTGTGTAGAAACACTAGGGATTCTTTATTATCATACTCAAAATATGAATTCATCTGTGTTTAAGTACAGTGAAAATGAAAGCATGAACCAAGAAAACAAAACTGGTGGAAAAAGAGGTTGTTTTCAACACAACATCAGTCATCACAACCACTTCCTGTAAATAACATTTGTCTGGTATTGCCTAGTTAAGAAAGATAAGAATAGAATAGAATAGAATTCAACTTTATTGTCATTGCACATGCACAGGTACAGGGCAACGAAATGCAGTTTGCATCCATCCAGAAGTGCTTTAGTGATATAGATATATTACAATATATATTAGCAATAATATAGATATGTAAGTATGTTACAGAAATGGGTCTATTATGGTGTGTTATAATGTACACGGTATGAAGTATGTTATGAATATTCTATAACTATAAGTATGTACAGGCTGTAGTGAGTACAAGCTATGTACAGGCTATGAACAGGATATAAATATGAAAAAAAACAAAAACAAAACAACTATACAGAAATCTGAGATATACAGTTATACAGAAATGTGAACTATGCAAGTTATAAACAGTTGTAGGATTAAAAATTATTGTATGATTATTTACACAGAACTATACAGTAGTGCAGTTAAGATAAGTGAGATATGTGGATAATTTCTACAGAGGTATATAAAGTGCTAGTGATTGTGAATGGTGGTTCAGTCCATGTTATTATTGTGTGTTTGAGGGTACGGTTGTCCATTGTGTGTGTGTGTAGGTGGTAGGTGGTGTGTGTGTATGTCCAGTCCATGAGTTTAACGTGGGTCAGATGTCAGGAGGCAGAGTTCAGGAGTCTGACAGCTGTGGGGAAGAAGCTGTTCCGGTACCTGGTGGTCT